TTTATCAAGCCTTTACTTTTTTTTTTTTAATTAATTTCAGTTCACATTTATCCTAAAAATGTTTTTCTTGTCTTTTTTGTAAATAAGTTAGCTCCACATTTTGAAACCTAGGTAACAAAATTATGCTGTTAAATTCATATTTATACATACACAGAGCAGAGTCTCAGTTTTCAAAAGGACTGAGTGTTCCTGGTTAAGTCAAAGGAATTGTATCATCTTTCATGGCTTATGGGAATATGCTATTGAGCATGGAACTGTCCCCCAGCATACAGAAGAATTATATATTTGGAAGTGACAACTGAAATAACACAATATTGCAGTGAAAACAAAAATCAAGAAGTAACTTGTATCTATTTTCCACAAATGCTGAAATTGTGGAGGAATGTCTCATCTTTTCAACTTACGTGTCCTGGTGGTGCTTGCATTGGTCGTTTTAGATCATTCCGACCTCGACAAGCTCTAATAACGGTTTTGTGACGGTGAAGGTGTATTTCTGCTTCAAGCTGATTCCAGAGCTTGTCATGAGCAGGTCCCTTCATATCTCGGCCCAGTAACTGAATCTGCTGGACCCTACATAATGACAAAGAGAGTAAAACAACACAATATTACAAGTGAAAAATCAATGAAGTGTACGAGTTGTACAACGTAGCTGGCTACAGCACACAGTCACGCAGCAACCAGTGCAAGTGCAATAACTGTAGGGATTTTTTGTTTCTTCCTTTTGTTCTGCTAATGTGACACTTTTCCTACTTAACTTTAGACCTGCCTCTGGGGATGCAAAGGAAGAAAGCAACAACAAAAACATCTCATGCTAAGGGACGCAGATTGACTTTACATACCTTCCAGCTAGTTCCTTATCTAAATACTTGGCTGCCAATCTTGCTCCATAAACCTCAGCCTGAAGCACTGCTATGTGCCTACGAAGAGCTTCATTTTCTTTCCTCAGCAACTTCACCTCAGCTTCCAGCTGAGCTTCTTTCACTTTTTCTTTCTTGTTAGCTTCAAGTTCTCTCTCCTTAAAAAAAAAAAAAAAATAAAAATGTTGAAAGCTTTTATCAAAGTTAATAATGAAAGAGCACTTATTGTTTCTCTAGACACAATGTGTAGTAACTGTCTGGTGTACAGGACATGCATGCAGGAAAACAAATGAAAGAAGGGACTCTGGCACTGCAGCTAGTGGTTTGCATACTCCCCTCTGGGGAGAGGAGGCCTTGCAGTCAACTTTGTGCTCCTGACATGATTTTTGTCCAGCTTACCACTCCTTAGCACAAAATACATATACTGGTTCAAAGTCCAAGGACTGTAACTAGCAAGAGTGCTTCTCCCTGTCACACACAGTTGGCAAAATTTAAGTGGCCTGAATGTTGCCCTTACTTTTACCTGTGTTCAAACGGAAGAGAACAATGAGAGAGATTATTTTAAAAATGAAAATCACTAAATATTTCAATTTTATAATATTCTTTAACTATTATAATACAACTTTTAATATGAGCAGATGTCAAGAAAATGTTCTTTAAGTCTGCATATCCCTAAATTTACAATTATTTTCATGCAAACAACTAAGAAATGTCCAGTCAAGGACATATCCAAATCAGACTCTGAAGACCAGAAAAATAAAGCCAGAGATTCTACACATGAAGATGCCTGCCCTGACAAAACTTAAGAGAAGGTAGTGCAGAACAGGTTTGTTAAAATAAAACAAACCACACAAAAAACTCTAAGAAACGTACCTTCTTTTTTTTTTTTTGAAAGTTTTGACTAATCTACATCTGAAGAATAGGAGTTTCTAAAATTGTACCAATTTTCTCTAATATTATGATGGCCTTGGGCTATATTAATTCACACGTACTGTCAGTAGCCAAAGGGCAATTACAAGAATTCAAGAGTTCTGACACACTGCGTTGCCTCTGCCGCACACTGTATCTGTAAGAAGGGTCACAGCTCAGACATAACACTCATTTTACAGTAACTGGAGAGTCCGTATACAGATATACAGATACGTATGTATTGCCAATACTGCTCTAAATAGTATAGGCCCCCTGTTTGTGTATGTACTCACTTTTAGAACAACTTTTATTTGGCAAGTACAAAAAGACGAAGACTAGAATTTGACAGACATATGAAGGTACATTATTCTCATTCAAACCTCCATTTTCTTCATTATTGGATATATTTATGCTTTATTTACTGAATGAAAAGTCATAAACTAAAAATTCATACTATCTTTGCCAATAATTTGTTAGAATGTACCAGTCCTGTCTTCTATTCAGAAAAAAAGCTTTAGAGATGTACAAGTTCCTTAATGTATCTGAAATACACCTTGGGAGAAGAATCCCAGCCTCCTCCAGGAAAGCGAATTGCTGAAGTGATCCAAGATTGCTTACCCTAGCAAATTCCATGTAGCACACTTTACCGTGTTTATAGAAGTAGCCAGCTTAAAACCTGTCATCAAGGCTGAAATTTTCCATTTATTTTCTCTGAATTTGGTTAATCATTTAAATTAAATATAAACAGAAAGTCAAATGATATGTTTTTAAGTGGAATCACTTTCAGTCATGCATTTGAACTGTGATACCTAAAATATGGGGAACAATGTAATCCCACAGAATTGTTTTTTTTCTATTTTCTCCATTACTATGACTCTTACTCTGTGACTAAGGTGGAAAATTACACCCCGAAGCCATTCTTAATGCTACTCCAGACTGTCTCCAACTGATCACCATGAAGAAAAATCAAAGGTTTGCGATACAGAATATCTGAAAATGTACTGAAAGGACATGTCCTTTTTTGACCGACTGCCATGAAATGTGGTAAGTCTCCAAAAATCTTTAAAAAAATTGAGGAAGTTACAGAATCGCTTCATGCTTTCTAGTGTTCATAGTATTGCGTAAGCTCTGCAAAACAGAAAAACCTGTATTTTCTGTTGGTGATATAAAACAAAACACCAAACCAAAAACACAACTGCAATGTTGAAGATCAAAGTTTACAGTAACCAGCTATCCTGTGGCTTTTCAAAGAGCAAATACTGAGCAATGATAATGAGGTATATAACATAATAAAAGAGGAAAAGCTGTTTAAAAACCTTTCAAGTCTATCACTGTGAAAGACTGAAAGATAAAAGTTCACTTTGCATCACCTTTTCTTCTTATCTATGTATTATTCAGTTTATAAGTTACACAAGCCAGTAAATCACACTAAATCGTGTCCATAAAAAGAACTGAGAAAAGTGAAAACAAGGAAAAAATGACAGGATTTTAAAAAAAGACACAATAGGTAAAATATTGCGTATTACACTGGTAGATGTGTACAGTATTTATGCTTTAGAATTTGTATAACACCTTAAATATTTTTGAGATACTGCCAGAACAATCTTTCAGAATGTCAAGCTTTCAGGTATCACCCCAAGTTAGCTCTAACAGTAATAAATGAAACACACACAGACTTCGGAAAGAGGGCACCAAAACGAGAAAAGGAAAACTAAAAAGCAAAGAAAATTTTTTATACAGCATCTTGCCAACAGACAGGAAGAAGGAAAAAGACAGATCTGTTTTTTGCCAGTTTCTGAGGCCAACATACAGAAGTTGTGGCACAAAACAAAAGCACTGGTTAAACATAAAAAAGGCAATCAGCATACTTACCATTTCATCCACAGAAAGGACAGACTTAAGACAGAAGAGAAGAGTTCCATAATTAGAGAAACAGACAATAGGAACTTCAAGAAAATGCAACAACATAAATTATTTATTCCAAAAGAAATTTACCAGCAGACTATGTCTTTCATTAGAAGTCATAAAGAAGCATCACACTGCTATAATTGTACTCAACAGCAATTTTGGTATTTTGCAGTGAAAGTTATTAAAAATCTTATTAAAAATGTTACCCTTTTTGTAGTATTGAAAACAATACTTTCTCCTCAAATACCAAGAATCTCAATAAAGAATAGCAAGATAATGTGAAACGCATGAAAGCAGTTTGAAAGTATCACAGAAAATACATTTGTAATATGACACCTGTTAAACACAGTAGATTTTTTCCTTTCAGAAATAATAGTAGAGTAAGTATTACAAGAGGGACATAAAGGATAGGGAGAAGTAGCAAAAAAGACATATCAACTGCAAAATCCACTAGGCAACTTCATACTCTTACAAAGACACAGTTATTGCGCCTGGACTAAGCAGATACACTACTCCTAAAAATGGACTCAGCCTAAACTACATGATGTTATCAATTGCTTGGCAATCTGAAGCATTTAGAAATGTTCACCACTATGTACAATATTACAGTTTGCAGGGTATACATTTACGCTGAGTCTGCATTCAAAAGAAGAGTGGCTGTCATTAACAAAGAAAGCAGGAAGTTAACTAGTACAGAACTTTATTTCCCCATCGCATATTCTGTTGACACAGTCCCTTTTTGCCCTCAGAGCCTTTCTGACTGCCAGAAAGTCAGCACAACAGTTTTTATTTACCTAAAACTCAGACTTCCCATTTTATTGTCATTTAAGCAGCTTCAGTTTTGCCTGTTCAAGGCTTCCCACACCTTCATAGCTTTCTCTATCTACAACAGTTTAAAAGTGAGTTTCTCTCCATTAGAACTATGAAACCCCCAAAGGCAAAGTAAAGCAAGCTCAAAAGATTAGACCTGATATTTATAAAAAAGGAGGAACTAACTGGAATTAAGGAGAGAATATCAGTCTAGGCTGTTAATAAATTCAATTTCAACACAGATAAAATCTGAAACAACGCAATTAAAATGTATTTACTGTGACCTGTGGGAAAAAGACTGCTGTCAATAGCATGGAGATTTAATATATCTTTAGAAATTTTTTATAACAAGGTAAGGAGAAACAAAAAGTTTAGAAGTATGACTCTCTAGTAATAGCCTCCCTAATAAAATCTAGGGACCAAAACTACTCACAGTGATGTGTTGGCTTAAAAAATTTGCTACACGTAAACCTGCAGCCTAAAACTTACAAAATGCTGGTGATATTTAACTAATGCTTATTTACAGGGCCATAAAAATTATTAACAGCTATGAAGAAGCTTCATCACGCTTAAGCTATAATTTAATACAGAATAAATTATACGCAGACAATCCAGAAAATGTTACTCCTATGGGGAATATCCAAGTATGTAGACTTAGGAACCCAGCTCTAAGTCAATTACAGCTTTTGGATCCGAAACAGGAAGAATTTGGGTTACTCCTATTATTCAGTGATTAGCCTAGATAGCCATTAAGCCTTACAGCCTATTACTGTGTTTTATTATACATTAAATAACATGACAAAATAGCAGAGGAGACTAATGTTCCACATATGTTGTGACTAGGTATTCACAAGCAACCTCTGAAGACTCTTTAAAAATGGCCAGACAGCTGGATTTTGATTTATGCCAATAGTTAGAAACCACAATCTATACACCATTACTTTATTGTTCTAACTGACAAAGTCTCAGTCTTAGAGCCTGAATCTGTGCTGTGGCTAGCAACAAGGCAGAGTACATTTTGGTTATCAGTCAATGCCAAATATTAATTGCACAGATTGATTATTGTTAACTTTTGGTGGGCTTTGTAAAAGTCTAAGTTTCTAAAAAACCTATCGTGCAAAATTATCAGTGGTTTACTGAGTTCTTTTATGACAGTCTGCTGCACATAGCAACGGATAGCAATGGAGATGCATCTGCAGCATTCTTAAAAAGAAAGAATGACAATAGAGAGAGGACTGTGATGCCAACTACCCTCTCTCTGTATGGCAAAACAATCCCAATCTTACTCTTACCAGAGTATAACTACAATAAAACAATAGACTCGCCTCACTTTAGGGTTTTTTAAGATATGTGAAGATTTGTTTGTATTTGTATATTGGAACCTATTATCTTTTGCAACTTCTGTCTCCAGAAAAGCTTTAAAAACCACCAAAATATTTTCTTATTCTAATTTAGGAAACCATTTAAAAACAGTTTACGTAAAAACAACTTCTTAAATTCTTATTCATTATTCTGATATTATTTATGTTATTTTTAATGGTTGCTAACAACCAACTATAGATGTTATTTACAAAAGAAAAAGTTAACTCTCTCTAATATTTTTAATGTGAAAATTTGTAACCAGCTTATTCACACCTTCGAAGAAAGAACTTCAGCAAAGAGAGGGAAAAGCATAATGTAATCCTCCCTTCAAGCCACCATACTCACCAGTTTTGCCTTAATAGCCCCAGAATCAACACTCTGACCAGTTTTGGCATGTAGCTGAAGTTGAACAGCATGGAGTTGCAAAAGCTGATCATGCACTTCCTTTTCCAATACCGCTTTCTCTGCCTGCGTTTCTGTCAGTTCAGACTTCAGATCAACTAACTGTGCCTGTGAAGATATAATCCATCATAGTAATTAGAGCAATGATTAAATGGGGTCATCAGAACTGTGACACATAATATATCATTTACTGGTACATATATGCTATATACAGTGTAATACTGATAAAGAGTACATGCTGTCACAAGCTCCCCCGTAGCCCAACCTAAGCACTGGATCATTTGCAGGCTTTTCTGCTCCTCAGCTGCCACCAAATCGATTCATCCACAGACCCAGTGTCAAACCACCATACTGCTGAAAGTAACAGGAGCTGGGGTTTTCCTCATGCAGACAATGGCATGTGATGCTGACGTCCACTCCAAAACAGGGCAATGGCATTAAATCTACATAGGACTTACAACCAGAGCAATGTAAACACAATTTAAAACTTAAAAATTATTAAGTCGTATAAAAAAAAATATGATCAAAGTAAAATGACAATTATTAATGCAATGCTGAAATCAAATAACCTAATTTACAACTGGTCTGTTATCAACAACTTAACTGAAATAGTAAATGAATGGGCAAACCAGACGCCATGAATTAACATGCCTCTAAAATGCATTTGTAGAAAACAAGGAATAGTTATTAACTCTTTAAAATGTAGTTTTGAAACATTTTAAATACAGTTCACCGGTAGTGTGCATACCTGGAATAAAAGAACAAGTTCTAACATTTTTACCAGGTTACTTGCTATCCTTAAGTTCAAGTAGCATTTTATAAGATAAACATTTTTATATATAAACATTTATATAAGCTTGAAAGCTACTATTTAAAAAAAAAACAAACACAGAAGATGATCTCAGAGGAGGGGAATATTGATCATGCTTAATATTTTAGGTAAATTCCCAGATTATATTTTTGCCTCCAAAAGTTTGAAACTAAAAAGTAAAACAGAAAAGCCACCGAGTCCTCAAAAAAACCCTCTCATATTAACGTACTGTATTTCAGATAATTTAATAACATCATCCTAATGTTCAAATTTTCACCGAATATCAAATTGCAAGCCAACAAACACCCCATTCAACTACATAATCACTGCTTTCCATCTTCCAACTGCCAGAATGACAAAAAACGTGAGTAATTTGCAAACCCTAGTAGAATTCTAAAACAGAAATTGTCTTCTACAGTAAGCTGATATTTAAAATACCATAAAGCCATATAATTTTACAGAAATGGGTTACTTACAAAACTGTATTGGTCTCCCCAATGACCAGCCACTGCTAAAGTCTCTGCTATGGATTTTCAACCCCCAAGCAAAAGCAGACACACACCTGAACTAAAGCAGCAAAACCCCTGAATATCACCAGCATAAGAGGTGATAACACAGTACAGAGCAGATAAGTGAGACCTTAATAACGAAGGCACAGTTTGACCCAGTCACAATTTCACCTAGTGTCTAAAAATATTACTTCTACTTCAATATTATTTGTTGTTAGAATTATATAACGTATAATGATATTACTTCTGCTTTTAAATGTCGTCCTCCTTTCAAAACAGGTACTAACAGCTAACACACTAACGTTTATTACTTTTTTTATATAGACACACACACAAACATTCATCCATTCTAATTATAAATGCCTAGAGAAGCAAAAAGTGGCAGAACAGATAAATTACACCAGTTTAATATTGTTCAGCCTCAACTAGTAGAGAATAGCACATAAGTAATAGAATAGAATTCTGGCAAAAAAAAAAAAAAAGAAAAAGAAGTAAAAGTTCTTTCCCTGTGTAAATTACAAAGCAGCGAGAATGATGGCTACCAGTTTTGCGACATACATGATGCTCCAAAGGGATCACAAAGAGACTGTCCAACTCATAATAAAAAGAAATAGTACTCTGTATACGATCTAGAATTTACATTCATATCTCACTGTTTTAATAAAGACGGCAAAATGAGAAATGGTAGGAGCCCAATTCATGGAAGTAATCTATTTAATCACAAAAAGTCATAAATCTATCCCCAGGAACAGATGCAGATACAAGAGTCACACCAAAAAGCAAACACGATAAGCTGGTTTGAAATCTTGTGATCTACTTCTATGAAGGCTGACAAATCTTTACATTATTTCACAGTTTTTTCAGCTTGGCCAGCTCATTTAATTCTCCTTTATATTATTTCTTACTAGCACTGTGTTTTTTATCCACATTCCTTCACGTTGTTACAAAGGAATCATATGGAAAGAGCACTGGAAATTCAACAGCTCTACACTCAATTTTGGAAGGTACTCAGTAAAAACCGGAGAGGGGGCAGAGAAAGCAGAGGAAATGACGAGCACAAACAAGAACTATCCAAAGGCAATGCCTTCTGAGAGCACCATTCACTGCATTAGGCAGGGGTCCTAGGGAAAAAGACGGTGCCAGATCATATAATTACAATGTTTCAATTTGCATAAGCACAACAAGGATAAATTAATGTTGCACAAGCAACTGTACCAATCCTTTAATTGCTAGCTTTTGTGATGTACTTTCCAAGAAGACTGTCAAACAAGAAATGTCATGTATTTTGAAGGTCACCTGCGATTGTTCTAGAATTCGTGGAGAAGCCAATTGGGGCAGAAGTAACGAACACCCACCCACAGCAGACCATTGAGCTTCATGGTTAGGAAAGATTATGAAGAGCCACCAACCAACAAATAGAGAACAGAAACTTTCATTGGGGAACAATAAAGGGCAGAAGTCGAAGAGAAGGTAGTATGTTTACTTTCATAACACACTTTAACAGTAGCTTGCCGATTCAGCCAAAAGAGGAATGCGTCTGTATTTAGGGCAGTATACAACTGTGCAGATTAGCAATTATCACACATTAGCAAGTCTCACACTGCAAGGTAACACCTTAGTTTATCTCTGCTAACTCATTTGTGAGTCTATGCCCCAGGCAACACCCCATTTAGAAGCAGGACTGGAGTGTGGCTCTTAGAAGTATGATTTAATCATGAAAACCTACATCTGCCCTATAGCACAGATGGGGAGAGAACCGGAGAATCAAGCAGACAGGATACAAAAGACAGAATTTGCGCAGCTCTTTTTTCCTTTTATTCTGACACCTGTTGGCAAGGTCAATGCCTTTTAAGATATGCTCATTTGTCTCTGGTTCACTGAAGTCTTGGATACTTTTCTCAAATCAAGATCTGTAACTGGAATTTGGTGCCAATGGGAAGTGCCCAGCCTGGGCCTTACAATGGAAGCAAAAGTTTACTGAAATCAACCAGAAAATAACCAAGTTTCTTCTTTACTAAAGGAATTCAGATCATTTATTTCAATGCTCCACTTTTCCCACCTCTTATCTGGGGATAATGACCACTAACTTTTCCTGAAGGGTTCCGAGAAATGTTTCAGTTCAATACTGGCTGCTAACGGAGAGCTCTGAGAAGTTACATATGTGAAACACTATGGAAAAGACTAAGAAAATAAAGAACTGCATTACTGCCAGTATCACTTACTTTTCTGAAGTATCTCATTCAAACGTGTTCTCCAATTTATCAATAATTATTAGACACACTACTGTCAATGTCTTCAAATTTACCGTCCCAATTACAGTCCATACACTGTCAACTACACAAGACATATTCCTTGGTTTCTTACCTTTTTTGTCCCTACTGTTCTGAGTAAAAAACCACACCAACCTTTAATACTAATCTGATCTGTCTGGGGTGGGGGAGGAAAGGTAATCCCAGAAGTCTGTTTTTTTCTTTTCTTCCACAAAGTACCAGTAAACACATGCTATTTCAGAAAGAGCTGCTGTTTCAGATTATGACTCCATTGGTCTATAATCAAGCTACTCCTAACTCTAAACAAAACTTTACAATTTCAGTAAATTGCATACCTTGGTCAAATTAATCAAATAGTGAAACTCAATATTTATCTTCGGAACAATCTAACACACAGATGATACCAGAAGAATAGTTTTGAAAGGCTAACTAAATATTCACTCAATTTTGGGGGATATTTTGCCATTTACCAAGTATTTTCTGTTTCACAGAGATCTTACACCTATGAAAATTAAAACAAAATTTCAATTAAAATAACTCAAGAATTCATCATTTATTCTTTCCATAAGATATAAAAGAAAGTAAATCACGGCATTAAGCAACAGAAAAATACTTATTCTGCAGAGCATTCAATAAATATTATTGCAAAAATAAATAAATAAATAAAAATTAAAAATCTCTAAACAGTCCAGACATAATGTCTTTCTATTTTTAATCAACAGTTCCTATTTCCTGTTCAAGCAATGACAAGTTATCAAAAAGTTGTGTTTGATATAAAATATATATTTAGCATAAGGTTATTTTAAGTTGTCAATACAATCAATTTCAGCTTAAATGCTGGGATTGATTGCACTGACAGTCATGGAGTTCTCAAAGTCTTAACCAGTGTTCTTCATTAGGAAGGAGAAGGC